GAGCACGACTTCATTGTTGTGAAACGTTTCGTCGAGAAAGGGTTCCACGGGCCTCTCGTCGGCCTCTCCTTATTATTCCATTGAGCGGCACATAAGGGACGGAATATTAAGAAGTCGCTGCCCTACGGATATCGGCGGCGCACGCTCGTTCCCTATGAAAGCGCGTTCGTAAAAGTTTACCTACGTGAGCGTACTATAAAGGCGCGCTACACCTGACATAACGGTGCATCACGGTCGTGTCTACGCGGTGTCACGGGGAGCTGCATATACGCAGATAAGTGCCCGGAAGCGCGATTATATTCTCGCGGAATATCTCGAGGGAAATCGAGTACTTCTTAACATCGATCTCAACATTTTTACTTCAATATTCCGCACATTTTTCTATTCTAATATTTTTCTCAACACAATTCAAAAATGTTTTTTTTTATTTCAACGCTCTATAAATTCCGTATCCTATAAATTTCAACGGAACTTGGTTTTAAGTTTCGAGTTTCAGTTTCAAGTTTCAACTGACGCGGGCTGTAATTTCAGATACAGATTTCATTAGTATCCGTCATAACGGAATTTCGTATTTATAAAAAACACGCTAATTATATAGGCAGTAATATCGCATAATCGTAAAGCTTATAGCTGTGCCGTAAATGAAATACTATCAGGTTGACAACGTTAACGATAATCGACATCTGCGCCAATACGGCGTCAAGATGGAGAGAAAGAGAAAGAAACGCGCTTCGCTATTTAGTGAAGTTATCGATTACTCATTCGTGCATGGAGCCGTGCGTAGGAACACGTTAAAATCCCGTTAACCGCTTTGCGAAATAAAGGAGGACGCTATCAATTCCCGAACGACGCCTTTCGCCTGGCGTGCGGAGATAGCGCGTGTTACAGGATTAAATTCCACGGCGCATCCGCGTGCATCCCTAATAGATTCCTCGGAGCTGCGCCGACATTTATGAAAGCCACGGCGAAGCCTCCGTGAAGTGCAACGACGTTTTACACACTCGCAACCCCTCCCCCCCCCGCTGTGATTCAGCAACTGCCGCCTTCGCCCTTTCACGGGTGGCGATAAAATGCCACAAATTAGCCTGTAAATTAGCCACCAGTCGCTCACAGACGCTCGCTCGTTTTTCACCCACCATGTACATCGCTCAGTGCTTTAATTTATTTGTTTACCTCTTAACAATATAGTTTTACGTTATTTATAGAAGCGAGGTATTTCAATAATGCGTTTTAGGTACAAAAAAAAATTGTATCTTCGGTCGCTCGCGTCACTAACTAAAAATCGTCAAACTGTACAGCTGCACCGAAAGAAAAATTTTGCTGAATCCAGATCTGAAAATAATTTTTGTCCAATAGTTAAAATTATTTTGTGCGAAAGTCAAAATGATTGCTAGAATATCAAAACGTTTTATAGCAATACTTATCAGTTTTAACATTCCAACAAATTATTTTAATGATTCAATAAGAAATTATTTTCAAATCTGTTTTTAGCAAAATTTTTAGGTCTTTCAACAAAATTGTTTTTTCCGTGTGTTATCATGCTGTTTATATATTCGTGATACATTTTATCATGTCTGTAACGTATAGCTGAGTATAGAATTCCATGGAAACGAGATAAGCGTATCGTAAGCTATATCACGCCGAAGGAGGATCGATAAGGCGCTCAAGTCGCTCGTTCCAGACGAGCCGTTTCCGCGGTCCGTGGACCGGCCTAACCATTCCGCGGCCGCCTATCGATTGTAAACTTTGGCATTTTCAATCGTTGTGTGCATAATAATGCACTCGGTGCAGTATACACGCGTGGCGCCGACGACGACGTGGGGCGTGTTGCCGCCCGAGGCGAGACGCGCGCGCGAACGAGGAGCGCGTGCGTCGTATCGCGGGTAACGCGATACGATGACATTTCGCAGTCACCTTTCGTAAACCGTATAATCCCGCGATCGTGGGACGCACGAATCCCTCATCTCTCGCCTTTACATACGATCCGCTCCCGCAGTCCTCCTTTACGCGCTAATTCCCTTCTCGTGTCCGCCGATCTTTCTCCATTCCCCTACCTCCTTCCCTTTCCTCCGTCGTCCTTTGCATGCGGACGTTAATAAATTATAGGCTCGAATACGCGGGGATGAGAGCGCCGACTCCGACCAAGTCGCCGAGTCTATCTTCATTTGTGGGTCCCTTCGAAAAATCGGAGTCGATATTTCCTTCTAAAGTTCGAACACGACCGGCATATTTTATTCTTTAACTCCGAACGTTCTAAACTCAGAACCAAGTTTTTTTTTTAATCCTCTGCTAAATAATTTTTGTTATACGTTTTTGTATATTGCTGAAAGTCTTTTTCGGTTTTCTGATCTCGAAGATGACTTTCAAGTTAATCTCATAGTCAATTCTTGGCCAAGAGACTCGTCGAGTTAAGGGGGGTCCAGACCGCATGGAAACGAGGTTTTGTGGGGTCCCATGAATGGTGTGTTTTGCCGGCGTATTATGGCAGCGGCGCGTCTGCGACGGATTATTTCCCACGATTATCTTCCCCCGTCCGCGCATGCCGGTGGTTGGAAAATTAGGATGTTTAGCAAGAGGGTGGGAGTATTTAATTTCGCACACAAACATACATACACACACGCTAGTGAATGACCTCTGATGGAAGGAAAAAAATATGTAATGTCATTGCCCTAAACGTCTTCAAAGAGAATAATAGATATATGTAAACTAACACGGAATTAATAGTTTCAATGGTAAACGACGGAAATGACACAATTTTCAGTTTTACCGTTTTATACGGAAACCGAAACTTCCGCTCATTCATGCAGATCGACACGCGAGCATTCTGGAAATTTATTGGCGGTCGCCGATCCCGCGGTTGTCGCGGACTTCCTTTCGAATCCGGCAACACAGTCAGACGCATTAATTCATCCCGTGCCCGTTCGGCATTTCGCAACGTCTACTCATTAATCCGCCGTGACGCGCGGCGTAGGCTTATTTATCAAATACCGTAGAGTCCCGTTCGTCGCCTGAGATTTCCATTGAGCGAAACTCGATCGAGCGCGCCGAAACGTCATCCCGCGACGCGCGACGTGCGTTATTCAGTCGCGTGTATCGGCGCGACCGTGTCTTACAATGAGTTCACTTGCGACACCCGTCCAGCGAGTCCCGTCCAGCTCCCGATATTACCTGTAGGTACATTACTCGACGAGTTGCGTACAATGCCGTTGATGGAGATTTATATACGTGGTCGCTCTGGAAACCTAGCAGGGACTGAATGACTCAACTGAACGTACGACGTAACGTATACGCGTACGTACCTACGTAAAGTAGGTTTGCTCTCGTTCAGAAATAAATATGCAGTTAAATAACAGAGCGAAAGAAGATCAAGGATATCGGAAAAATATTATTCGATTCTGCAGTGGCACTTAATAGGTATATATCGCTTAAACGAAAAAAACTTACAAATTTTTCTTCTTTGAGAAAAACTATATGAAAAAACTATATGAAATCTATATGTATTTATAATTAATACACCCTCAATTTGCAAAGTGAGTTCAGTCCTAGTTGCAGACAATTAAACTTTCTTTCGTATTTTTGTGAGAAAGAAAATATCGTTTTGCTGAAAAAAAGAAGCTTTACGTAATATGCATATAAATAATTCAAGCACGCATGTGCTTCAACAAAGTTTGCAGACAGAATTTACCTGAGAGTTTTCGGTTAATCTGCCCCTCATACAATCGTGACTTTATCATACATGGGGAGTATCATGGCAGAATGCAATAGGTACATACATATATATATATATATATATATATATATATATATATATGTGCATAAAGGGTAGTTGTATGACAAGTATGAGGGGAAAATATCGCGGGGATGACCGCGCCATTGTCCACAGCGACACCCAGAGTGGCCATTGTCTGGTGGAGCCGCGCGTTCTTTTTTTATTCATCGGATGTTTATAATCTGCATCTCGCATCTGCGAAATAATGCCCGCGGATTTGCATACGCAACGGTATCTGGACGTGGAAATATCGCGTGAGAAAACGAATCGGGGCCCCGTTAGCGGCGCATTGCAATTCCCGTGCGTGGCGAACGTAGCTTTCGTCGGGTCGATTAATAATCGTTGATCATGATCCGGGATATTTCAAGAGGTGAAAAATTGTAAAAGTTTAACCGAGTATTGATCGCAAATTTTGCAAACATAAATACAATATATAAATTCAATTGATTTAATGCTAAATGCAATTGATCTATGTACTTTTTAAAAAAAATTTTTTTACTCTATTATCTTTTTTTAATTTTTATCTATTATATTTTCTCTATTATATTTTCTGCATTCAAAATATTTACATAACCAAATATTAAATGAAGAGAGGAAAGAGAAATAAAACTGAAAGAAAAGTACAAGAAATTGATTCAGGATAAAAAGTAATAAGAAAATAAAATAAATGCAAATAACAATCATTACAAGAAAACAATCATTATGTGATTGATTAAAAAAAATCAAAGAATTTGAAGGATCCATGAAATTTCAAGGATTAACATTTTAAGAATTTAGGAAATCTGAAAACTATGTTGAAAGGTTTTCCATTTTCGAGCAAAAGATCATCGGTAAAAGATCTCATTTGATCCTTTGGAATCCACGTGGGATCAAAAAGGTGCGGAAGTTCTTTGTTGTGATAATCTACCTAGGCCTTTTCAGTTCTCGCCGAACACTCTAAACAAGCGGAGGTGGAAAAGTGCAAGTTGCGCAGAGCTCCTAAGTAGAAAGTGTTAGGTCAACTTGTAGTAGATATAAAATAAAGTTTAAGGCAAACGATATAAATTAACAGTCATTTAAAAGTGTTTACGATTATATCTGGTCCGTAATATTAAAAAAAAAGAAAGAAAAACAAGGAAGAAAATATAAGAATGAATAATTCTCTTATAGATATAAACCTATAATATATTTTATTTTAACATAATTAGTAATTTATTTAAAAAATTTAATATAATTTAATGTCTACTTTCAGTTTTCGAATCGTTAAAATCATGTCGGTGCTACTGGAAGGGAGGTCGTACAGGCCGTTCAAGTCCTCGGAGGAGTACCTGATTGCGATGAAGGAGGACCTGGCGGAGTGGCTGAACGCCCTGTATCCGGAGCTCAGGATCAATCTTGACAATTTCATGGACAGGCTCGACACGGGCGTCGCTCTGTGCAAAGTGAGTGTGCGTCACAGTGATTTGCCTGTCAACTTACAACTATCGCGGAAGCACGATTGTCCGTGCGGTTTAGCGCTCTCTCGCCGTGCCGCGCTCGTAACGAGGCGATCCTTATCGGCGCCGCGACTTATCGCCGTCGAAAAATTTTCCCCCCTTGCGAGATCGAGATATACCCATTGACCTCAATCTTAGAACACGGTTGTCACGCTGTTCTCCCGCTCGTTCCGCGTTTATTTTCTCATCGAGGTTCGTAAACATCCGCCTGTACGAAGGTATCGCGAAAGTACCGGCTGCATACATTAGCAACGTGATTTCTTTAGAAGCGCGCGTTCCTTAGCGAGCATTTTCCGGCAAGTTGTTATTCAAAGCGATGTAAGTTGTAAATCTTTAACTCCGAATAACAGATATTAGCAATATATATATATATATATTGATGTTATCCGCATTTAGCGGATGTCGAGTTAAAAGTGCAAGAGAAACTTCAGTCATGCTAAATTAGTTCTGTGAAATTCGGATATGAAGTTTCCTGTCAAATCGCGCTGGCGTCATTCACAAACACACGCGGCACGCGCTGAAGACGCATAAAAAAACTGCTGCACGTGTGCACTGCGACTAGGAGGAAGAAGGATGTTGACGTTTCAGCGGAAGCTCTTCGTCCTGCGTGGCGTGAATTACGATTGAACTTAATGCGAGTGGGAAGAGCGACGAGTAAAGTGTGTCTTTAAAGAACTCTTTTATTTCTTCAGCCGTTTTTCTACATCCTTATTAAAATGTTACGAATGTGTTACTATTATTCTGATAATGAAAATTCGCGCAATTATAAATCAACAATAAATAGTAATTTTTGTTACGTTAATTCCATATATAGTTTAAAAAAAAACCTGAAATAGATCCTATTATATAAATCCTACTTATTAAGTAACAATTAAAAGTAAATTTAATATTAGTATAATCTAATAGTTTTTTAATAAAATAGAATCACGATTATCGTGGCTCTATTAAAAATGATCATTCCTTAATTTTTATTTAATTATTTAAATAATATGAATTTTACTTCTATTTATATTTTATATTAAAAAATTCAATGTGCGAAGAGCACGTACATATTCTCTTTCTCTTTTTCGATTTATTTACCGTAAAAAATGTATTTTTTTCCGCGAGACATGTAATAGCGAATATAGATGTCTACTTAAACGAAGTTGAAATTATGCATGTGACAGCACATGTTACTTTTTCGTCAATAAGCGACAACGAGTAAAACCTGTATGCTAAAATCATTGGCTCGCGTATTGACGCGCGGTGTTGAAACAAGAAAAAAAAAAGCGCAAAAAGAGAAGAACATATGCGTACAACCTGTATCTCCCACACGACCGTGCCACTCGACATGCAGCGGCGGATAGAGTAGTCATTCGTAGCGTGACCGATCGGCTGTCGACGGTGTACACGGTCAGCTTATTAGCTCGGGCATTATTAAAGCAATTTTAACGAGTCATTAAGGGCACGGCAAATTGGAGCGTTTAAAAAAAAATACGGGACACAATGAGTAATGGTTTAATTACCCGATTAATGCGGCCGGGGCAATCGCGACGGCTCTTGTGCCGGACCACAAGACCCACGACCATGTGGAAATTACTTGGGGCTTGAGATTTGCGCGTTTGTATGCAATCGCGCGAACCGAGATAAGTGCCGGGGCGATAGAACAGCGATGTGAATATTATCGGCTGATTCATTACTGGGAACGGCGGGAAGGCAAAGAAAAAAAAAAAGAAGCGCCGTCAGTGCGAGCGCGCAATGCGCTCATTATAATCCGCTAATTAAAATTTGTTGTTCGATAAATGAATGACCGTCCGCGGCTCTGTGGATTCTTATACTTTTATTACCGTCATTTCGTCCGTAATGGTTCCCGGAACGATACCGCGCCCGATCGATCGCGATCCAGGCGCGGATCGGCCCGCGTGCCCGGGATCGAGGGGTTCGAGTCGAGACTTTCACTGATCTACCGATGACGATCCACCGCGGCCACTCGAGTCGACCGAAACGAGCTCCATTCATCGCCACGGGCCCCGTCGCGCGCCCATAATATCCCACCGGACGACCGGACCCGCGACGGGTATCCAATCGGCGCGGAGCCGGAGCGCCACGCTCGTATAAAATGTTGGGATATCGGCCGGGCCGCGCTCGTTATTAGCGGCGGCGCACCGCCATCGTCGTTATAAATTTATGCCGGGGAAATATTTAGAGTAGGCAGAGGACGATAAAACCGCGGCAGCTCGTTCGCGGTGCGTGCGTGCGCTCCCTATGTGCCAACTCGGAGAAAGTCACTGGTGCATCGAGTATGCGTCTAAAGCCCGATTCAGGCTACGGTGAGGCAATACAATCTTTAACGCCTTAGGTCGAACTATTAATATTAATTCGTACATATGCCATCACCAGATTTCAAAAGAGATGAAAAATCAACGAATAATAAAGAGAGAAAATTTTAAAAATGTTAATCATATATGTCGAATGTGCACTGTGCAGTTTAAATTTGATTGAAATGTTGCAATTAAGACTGAAAAGCGAACGATAAGTCCCAACATTTAGCACTAGACACGTTCGAGCTATAGAACGAGGCGCTTCGGTCTGAATCGGGCCTAAGGATTACCTCGAGGTGAGGTGCTGGAATTTCTTACCTGTGGCAGGGGGGTAGATTGGGTTGCAGAGCAGAGTCGGCGGAAAGGGACGAGGCAGGCAGGGGAAGGTGTGCAGTGCTTTTGCATATATCGACTTTACGAGCCGTGACGAGTGGCGAGACGGGGAATATAATAAGGTGCGCGCGACGAGGAACGATAAGAAATCCTAGTGCTCTCGATACCGGCACTTCTGGGGGCTCTCTTCTACCTTTCCTTCTCTTTTCTATCATTCGCGATGAATTTTTATAGACTGCGATTTTTTGGCATTTTGTTTACGGCGGGGGAGGCGAGCAGGCGCCTGCATGCAATATGCGTCGCGACTTTTATCAAACACGACACGCAGCAGCGGACTCGAAGGACATTTAATCCTATTTGAATTGCTTGAATTCTTTGTTTTTAATAATCTTTTCAATAATAATTTCTCTTGTGATGCATAACATCTTTGTTTACATAACATTGCATTCAGAACGTTAATTAAATTACAATAATTTAATTTAAAGAGATAACAATTTATTTTCTTGAAGACTTTTTATTTTAATTCTTCTTTTTTGGTTAAAGACTAATATTTTTTAATATTTTATTCTGATGATGAACTATTTCTAATTCTGTACAAATAGTAACAATTTTGGAGAATTGTATTACCTAACATGATATTTACAGTGGATTAGAATTAAAATTTTAATACGACGGCTATAAATTCCGGAAAAATTATTTAATAAAAATTAATTGTTGAAAAATGAGTACATTTACTGTCAAATAATTTAAATCCTAGTAATTCTTGGCAAATGACAAATTCATAACAATAATTTATTCAATTTTGCAATCAATTAAAAAAATGTCTCGCTAAAAGTTTGAAAATACACCTGACAGTTCGGTGAATTTTATGACGTACAGAAGGAAGCCTTTGATATGAAGTAGACGTATGAGAAGCGTTTTTCAAAGCAAATTCGAGAATGGCACTTGTCATACGGTTAAAGATCGACAGGCAATCCATATTAATCACCATCGCGATATCTCGAAAGCGAAAGGAGTCAGAAGCGACGGCACATGGCCTTTCCTGTCGGAAATAACAAATACCGGGCGATCTGATGATGGACCTTATATAGAAATCGGCTGGCAGTTATATCTCCGAGCGTCCGCTGTCACCGTGCGTAATATCGATTCAAAAATATTAACTTCAATTATGTCACATTCGATGAAAACAATCAATCATTCTAATATCTATTTTTGACGTGTCTTTTTTCTGAGTTAAAGTTGTTCATTTAATTTTTTATAAAATGTATCTTGAGATTTTTATTTTATTTTATTTATTTTTATTTTTAAGAGTGGTATATCCTATGTGTTACTTTTAAATAATGTGCGTTCGTAGCGTGCAACTGGAACATTACCTCGCGGTAAACATTTCTCGTAAGGACACCGAGTCGATGCCGTTTCGCGCCAATCTCCGTGTCGCTTCGAGATGATAATCCCATAACCAACTTTATATAAATAGAAAGAAGAGTGGTTCTTCTTATCTTATTCCGGATTATGTCGCGGAATTCCATGGCGATGCGCGGCGTGCGCGATTAATTAACCGCAATTGTCGCCTCCCCATCCGCTTTTTTTTTCGCTCGCTTCTCTCTCTCATTCGGAATTAGAATTTATGGGCGCCACATCGGGCGCGTCCTGATGTTTGTCCCTTGCAGACCTTAAAGCCTGTTTAAGCAGGGCGGTTTAATCATCAAAATAAATCGTAACCATCAAGACTGTGTTGTGAGTTTGTGTGTACCCATAATTTAAAGGGTACTAAAACTTCTTTTCTAAATAAAAATGTTATTTTTGTCGCTTATATTTTAGGCGCCAAATAAAATTGATAATGTTCGTTGCTTTTACGTGAAAAGTAAAATATTTCAGATAATACGCTATATTTTTAGAAATAATGGTGAATTGCGCGTCATTACTAAATAATTTTATATATAATAATTATTTTTAATTTCTTTAATTTTTCAATATAATTATTTTTATTTATATAATTATATTTTACAATTATATAATTTTCGGCATTTTAAAAAACCGCATGAGTTGCGATTGTAATATTCTTGATAATATTCTTGCAAAAACACCGCGGCATTTGACATGACGATGCCCAGGCTATTACTTGGATAAATTAATAGGCTAACCGGATCGATGGTCAAACGCGTTAAGTCGAGATCGCGCGCGATCGGGGTCGATCCCGGGGATCCGAGGAAGCTGGCCGCATTAATGAGCCAATTAACGGGAGAGTTACGAGCTCGGCTTTCCGACAAGACGATTGTCCGTCGACTTTTCTGACGCGCATGGCAGAGAGCG